TGGTTCCCCTGGGACTCCAACCCAGAACCCTCTGGTCCTGGTTCCCCCGGGACTCCAACCCAGAACCCTCTGGTCCTGGTTCCCCCGGGGACTCAAACCCAGAACCCTCTTGCTGTGAGGCCATGGTGCTAACCACCAGACCACTGTGTCGCCCACATTACAGAAGCACAGGATTACAAATTAGCTTATGATTGCAGACCAGGGGAGCAGACTAGGCTGTACATTTTGTGGTCTTAGTAGCAGGGTATAGGTAGATGAAGAAACAGATATCAAATATTCTAGCTGTCTTGAATATGTGGATGAATTTTCATTTGTTCTTTCGTTCTAATACATCCCCCGACCCCATTAAGGAGTAAGCGGTAACGATAATGGATGGATGGATTCTAATACGTGGAAATGTTTGGACTGGATTTCCTGTGAAGGGATCTGATAACCCTATTTTGATATATATATACCAGAGCATAAAGCTTCTTTCCCAGACATGTTTGTACATCTGATAACTTGAGGTCTGATGATCAATCATGTGACAATAGAGGAATGTGTCAGTGTGATAGGGTACCTTTCTCTGCACTCCCCCCATGCGTGCACACTTTGCATCAACGGTCTGGTAGGTCAGCCAGAGGTAGGTGTCCACATGCTGGATGTAACACATGGAGTCGCCATACTTTATGTCAGGAGTGCCCATTCCATCAATCTCTTTCTTCACGCCTGGGTCCAATTTTTCCTTCAAGGCATAAAAAAATGAAGGATAATGAGTAAGATCATCCAAACTGCCATGAGTTTATTGTTCTGGATGCTGAGGAGCTTTTACCTTGGATGACCGGAAGCAGAAGGCAGTGGACTTAACGTCTGCTTTATCTTTGTCCATCAGCAGCAAAGACTTGTCTGAGGCCAGACTCAGATATTTCCCCGTGGTCATATGTCTGAGTCGGAAAGGCTGACCCCAACGGATATGACTTCCACCCCACCTAGACAAAAACAGGAGCCAGAGGCAGGAACACTTGAAGCACACGTGCATTTCAAATTCTAAATCAATGCACAGAAATGTAAAGGCTAACAACCTTTTAAATCCCTTGCACTCAACAAAGAATGGCGTAAGTGTTGAAATGTGATATGTTCTAACCCCATTTTCCAGTTTGTATGTATTTGTTAAATTTGAGTTGAATCAACTTGTGTGTAAAACACTGGACAGTGTTGCCCCTCTGAAAAAAGGTCATCGGTCAGAAAAAAAAGGCTCCTCGGTATTATTTCCAGCTGCATATTTCAAAGCAGAATACAATTAAACTGGAAAGAAAATGGTTGACAAAAATCTCACTTAGTCTAAAAACATTATTCCGTAAGAAAAAGCCTTTTAAAAAAAGAGATAGAGGAGAAGATATAGAGTTCTTCACAAATTGACAAATTGCTCTTCATGCACCACAAACTTTTAGTAATACACTATTGTGTTTGGTAAAATGAAGTTAAGCGGTAGGTAGAAACAGTGAACAAATAGTTTCCTCAGTAAACTCTTCTACTGTCTCTCTTCTAGATTAGACCATTTTACTCTCAACAAAACATCCAGCAAACAGTGGTCTTTGATAGGGGCGATGTGATTGGTGGGAGAGGTTATTTCTCCCGTGATACCCATAACGCCTCATCAGAAAGCAATGTGACGCATCTTCAGTTTAGCAGAAGGGAGGTGAACCCAGGCCTCTTCCCCATCCCTTCCTCAATATCATCACCCAGAAATACAAAACCACTCAGACATGGGCAACATTTGTTGGCACATTTCTTTGTCAGTCTGTGTGTGCTTTTCCCTGTGTGCTGTGGGTGTGCAGGTTCCTTCTGCTTACATCACACGCAGTGTCTCCAGTCTCCAGAGGGACCTTGCGTGACTGGAAACCGCCCCCCCCTCATAATGCACCGTCCTGTGGGGACATGATTACATTACATCAAATTACAAACTGTAACTCCACCATAGAAAAACACGCATTTGGCAAAGGAACTGTTCACAGCATTCTTCCATGTTTAAAATGGAAGCATATTCATTGTACATAGAACAAAACCCAAACAGTCACACCCTGATATTCACATATTTACATTTTTGCATTTAGCAATTACTTTACCCAAAGCCACAAACAAGGAACAAAGGGAAATAACAATTGAGGACATTTTTAACAGAAATGTTCAGTAAGAAACTGCAATAATAAATAGTGGTGTATAACTAGAAGGAGCAGTTCCTGCTAAACAGCAGTGAGAATGCTGTTTCTGAATGGATGCATGAGACGATGTTAAAACAGATGGAAAAATATGAAAAATTAGTCAACAATGAACTGAAGAAAACAGTCAAATGTGGCAGGAGTTAAAGAGCAATAGCTGAGGGATTTGAAGCATTTACAAATAAGCTGAAAAATGGAAGAAGGATCACTAAACTATTTGAAGCGCTGCAAAATTTTGTAAGCCGCCTTGAAAATGTAATCTAAAGGGCCTAATTTTAATGTGTATAAATGTTTTGGAATGTTCATAACTGAAAGATCAAGCCCATTTTCAGACAAAAAGAGTTTGTATTAAAAGGTCAAAGGTGAAACAATCACCAGAGCACAGTGCTGATCTGCAGGATGAATCCACTGGAAGATGCTCAATAAATTTAAAAAGTGAAAATCTTGAACCAGCTGAGGAAAACGCATTATGTAAAGTGGATGTGACCACAGTGGACAAAAGTTCAGTGGTTTACGGATGCAGAAAAAGATGAAGGGAACAACAGCAAATGGATGAAAAATAAAAATAAAATGTGTATTTTGTTCTAATAGATTCCATCTTTTGTGTAGGACAAGGTGTACTTTTTTTGTTATCACTGTTCCAAGACATACATTCAACCTATACAAGACGACTGGAGAGATTCCAGGGGCTCATGTGTACCTATGGATAAACATTACCTCCTCTGCTCATCCCCATGCTCCCCAGATGGAACGGTCAGACACTCGTCCATGTGTCCGTGAAGGAGGCGCAGGACATCTCCCCCTATGACGTAACCTACAGGTGTGGGCGTGGAAAAACAGAGAGCGTGTTCAGAACGCCACTGGAAGAGTGACATCAGGCCACTGGAGACATACAGTCCAATTAATTACTCTTCAGTTCTAATTATAGTCCAGCTGAACCAGATTAATAATAATTACACTCATAGCATGATTACGAAACCGAACTCCCTCACTCAGGGAAACAACGGATCACATTAAAGTTCCACTTGATGTGATCCTCTGTCCTCAGCAGTGGGAGAGAAACAAGTGCAAACGCTGGCTGGCCTCCACGGAGCTATTTTTGAAGATTTGGATAAATCAGTCTGTTCTGATGTGGGAGGCAACAGCAGGACCAAAATACTGAAGGGCAGTTCAGAAATGAAATCCATATTTAGATACTGTGATGCTGACTGTCCTTATTCAGTAATGTGCAAAACGGAGCAGCAGGCTGTCATGTGGTCATGTGATACAGAAAGGAATAAACCAGAAAGCCTGAAATACTCACGTAATGCTGATTTACATTATTATTATTTCACAGAGATGGAAAAAGGTCTTTACTTCTTTTTTTTTAATCTATCGTACAGTACACAGGTCTAGTTGCCCTGGATCCTTTTGTCTCTTGTCCTTAGATATACATTTTATCCACAATGGATGCAGTTTTACTCATTGGTCTAATACGGGTGTTTAGTTCTGATGACTTTTCCTCCTTCATAAGTCTCCAGTTAAACTTTGGGCTCCCTTCCAGCCATTTTTTTAGCTGCTTTGAAAAGCTGCCTGAGCAGCAACGTATCTCTGAGCTTCAGAGACCCCCCCCCTCCAAACACCTCACCTCAGATGATGGGATCTCATCTGCTCTTAATCCAAACGTATGGATTTGTGGTGTGGGCTTTTTAAAATAATGCTTAAGGCAGACATTTGACACTGGATGAGCATCTGATCATACTGACCTGCTGTAACGTTTCTCCTACCCTTCCCATGTCTCTCCAGTAGGCTCTTATGCTACGTTTGGTTGGAGCAAAACCGGTTATTCAGAGGGAACAGAAATCTGCTACCCTTCCATGTTTTAAATACGAACCTGTGTTTATTCAGAAACTGTTTGAAGAGTTTCAGTCAAGATTCAATCCCCTAATTCATATGTTAGACAGAAAAACACTTCCCTCCTCTCCCCTTCCCTCAAACAGCACATGCTCCCATCATGCTGGAGTAGGGTTGCCTACTGTTGTCATCCCAGGTCTTAACAGCATGCCCATGGTCACCCAACTGGACATTAGTCACACAGCAAATAACCTAACAATGACCACAAACTAACTCCAGACATGAGAATACAGCACAAAAACATACAAAGAACGAAACATTGTCCTGTCAAGATTCATTTGAAAAACACATCAAGCTGAAAAGTCTATTCTCCACATAAGATGTGAGAAAAATAGGAAAGTATAACCACCTTTGCAACTTGGCCATTAACTATCATTCGGGGAGTCTTCCTCATCAACAGTAGTAACCACACATTGAAAGGAGAAGAGACAAAGTCTGCCTTTTCCATGAAAACTTACTTACAACATGTCATCTCTAAAGTGTTTATGCTAGCTTCTCAGTACTTAATTTAATAATGGTGGCTGGCCAGTAGAGGGCGCACGGGCGCCGCCCCACCACTCCCCACTCAGCCAATTACCTTACATTTTAAAAAATAAATCAAATTATTGAATAAAACATTTCTAAATATATTCATATTTGTGTAGGTGTATAACATAAATATGATATGGCTAATGAGTAAAGTTGTCTCGCTCATCGACGTTGTCCGATTGGTGACGTATTTCCGCCCGGGGGCGCGAATATATTGGCCAATAGACGTTCGTTAAAAGTTGTACATGCGCAGTAGCTATTCTTCAATACAATGAATAGGAGCATGCTCAGGGGCCCTTCTCTGTGCCCAGAGCGGAATTCAGCTCGTTTTTCTGTCATTTTCCATCATAAAGTGCGGCTGATTGACAGGGACAGGGGGGGCAGGGATGCGAAATGGGGCAAGAGAAATTAAATAATTCAGTGAAGTTAAATTCTATTGTTTTTGTTTTTATAAAGTGTTTTTAATAATGTTGCTTTTGTTGTATTCATCATCAATATACATCGATGTGTTACCTTTAGTATATGTTTGACTTTTAGTAATTGTCTATTTTGGAGTTATAGCCTCCCCTCGAGACAACTCCAGCCGCCCACGTGCAATGGGTGTCCTATAAAGAGTCCTTATATTTATATCCAAAAGAATGTATTTAGGTTGAATAGTTTTAGGAGCATGCAAAAGACTAATATTTGGATGAGTTATGACTGAATGTGTTTAGATCTTTTTATTTACCTAAAATAAGAATGCATCAATAAGTGGATAAAGAGGATAGATTCTACCAAAATAAGGAAAGAAACCAAATTTGACCAAAATGATACCTTGTGCTACTTCACTGTTCGAGCAGATGGGGGCCACCGTCCACAGAGTCTGCTGGAAGGCTGCATCCACATGGAGGCTTCCATTTCCATAAGAGAGATGCTGCAACCAACCCGACAAGAGAGCTGACTTAAACAGAAAAGCCATTTAAATATTAATAAAAGCACAGAGAAAAAAGAAACTTTCCTCCTCTTTGGCTCGCTCTCCTGTATGTTTTAGAAGTTTTTTGCTTTGATTCACAGTATTCTACCATTAGCAGGCTTGTGCAGAGCTTTTAAATGGATCCCTTTCATTAGAATCATTCTAAAACTAGTATGACTGCAGTCCTCGAAGACCAGGGATATATTCCCTTGTTCTATGTGGATGTGAGAAGAAAAACACAGTTTTCCCTGGTTTAATCAGACCGTTCACATCCCAGCTGTCCATGGTCACCACACTGTTGATGTTTTCATGTTACAGTACAGAGATTTGTGCTACAGGAGACTTTTTGCACGTTTTTGCTGATAAAAATCAACAGTACGAAGCTAAAAAAGGACATACATAATCCTGTTGTCTCCAATGACTCACACACGTTCCTATCCATAAAAGGAACTCACCAGATATCTTTCAGAGGACACGCTGACCAGGATGAGATCATCTCCCACTCTAACCTTCTCTCCCTCTGAGCGCTGCTTTGATGCTGGATGGATGGTCCACCAGCAAGCCTCACCTAAACACACACACCAACAGAAAGGCAGAAGATAACACAGATGTGTCCAATAAACATGTTTATGTAGTACAACTCATCCACTATGTATACTGTACAACCTTATGACTTTAGATCTATCTACTAGCTGTAATTGTGATGTAACTTATTTTAAATAAAAGCTATTTATTGTTCTGACTTTATTCACAAGATCAAAAACATATCCATTCTCTCAGATTAGAACAAGATTTATGAGACCTATGAAAATAGCACAACCCATATCAAATGGTGATCTGAAACCAAAGCATGTTGACAGTTGCATGGTGCAAAGCCTAGAAAACCACATATTTCCACTGACAAATAAAGGAATTGCTTAACTGGCATGTATTTTTGTATTCTTTTTTAAAAGAATTCTTTAAAAAGTTGAAGATTATATATTATATATTTCAGGAATGGGTACATGTTAAAAATGTATATTTTTCTCTGTTTATAAACTCAAATAGTCTAAAGGAATACACAGAGGCAGATATTAATCCTAATTATAACAACTGTAATATTTTGAACAGTCAGCAGAAGTGAACTAAAATTGATTCTAAATCCTTCAATTATTGGTCAAGAAACAAGTTAATATTAGTTTGTGTTTGCTTCTGTAAATCATTTCAACGAATACAATCAGACTATTTTCAAGTCCCCGGTGGCTGGATCCACTTAGGGAACTCAATCAAAAACCAAAAATATTTTCCTTTATTTAACTTAGAACACAAACCGCTGCACAAAGACATTTTAACTTTGTGTGACATCTTTCTCGGGCATGTTTCATCAGTTCAGGACTGAAAAAAATGGCTGAAGTCGTCCTACAATGATGAAAGTTCTCTTTTAAACAGCATCCATTTCTTTGACTACTACCTGTCGTATCTTCTTGCAGCCCCACATCAAAAGCCAGTTTGTCTGTGGATGAGCGGGATGTGGACAGGCAGCACAGGTACTGAAAGAAAAATACAATCCATCAAAGCACAAAATGGACACTATCAGAGCCAACAGTCGATTTGAATCAGGAGTAAATAAACATGAAAATGCACTTGGAGAAACTTCATTTCAATAGTTGAAGTTGAGTGTAAGCTCCCTTGTAGTCTGAGTTACTTAGTTACTGGGGTGTAAATGTAATGAATTGTGACTGAAAACCTTTCATTTAAATTATTCTTAAATGACAGTGTGTACATGTGTCCACTTATTTACCATTCCACTGTGGGAGTGTCTTAGTAAGAGGGCATGCCCATAGAGGAGGGTCCGATGCCCACCACCCTGGGCCGTCTGAAAGAGGCCAGTCATGTGGAGAGAGAAATGAGAGAAAGAAGTTAAGAATAACACTTACAAGGAAGCAATCACTGTTAATGACCTTAATTCAATTGTGTTACATAGAGCTATTAGTTTATTTTTACTTTCATCTGCTTGTCTGTCACCTCTTGAGGTGTTCCCAGATCAGATGGAACACGTAATCCCTCCATTTACTTCATTTTAATCCTGTGTCCTGACTACTTACATGTCTTCTTTTTCTAATCAAATGTATCCTCTCACATGTTTGCTTGACCATCATCAAGTCCAGAGCTTTCTGTATCTCAGTCTCCCCACTTCTGAAATTCCACTTATGTCACCTCCTTCAAATCTGACCCAAAAAAACTCACCCAGGTTAAACATATTCCCTTTACTTTCTAAAGATTTTACTATTTTGATTCTTATATTTGACCCTTTATAGATTTTATTTGTCTTTTGTAAGGAGACTTGGAGGGTCCAGAGTTAATTCTGGGTTGGGCGACTGTTTGTTTGGCTGCCCTGCACTGATTTAAAGCCCTGCCGGTTAAGAATGAAACATCCACATTTGAGTGTTTGTGTGCAAGCACAGACTCACCCCATCAGCATTCTCCTCTGTGTTGGTCAGCATTTCCTGAAGGGCTCGGACTGAAAGAGACTGCTCCAACACAAATGTGCAGATGGACAGATCTGGAGGCACATTCTGAAACAAGAAAATAACTAAAGTGATGTATTTGTTGTAGGTCTGAAAGTGACCTATTACTCAATATCCCCTTTTGGACATAAGAAGAAAACCACTCTTCAGACTCTGTTAGAGGCATACATACTTTGTGATTTTTCCTTAATACCTGAGTCATTTTCTCCCTTTGTCTTTTTGTCTTGACTGTACTGGATGATGATGTGGTTATTATGAGTTTGTGGACTTTGTCTTTAAGTCCGTTTGAGATTTCCTTATGATTTTGGTTATTTTAGGATTCTGTGTTATTTCTAGGTTGGCCTTTTTATTTTTCTTAACCTCTTTCAATTCAGTTTACTTGTGCATTTTCGGTATAGTGGGTCATTTTTACCAGATTATACTGATGTCGGTGTGTTTTGTTTTTAGTGTGTGAGTGTGTATCCTTTGCAAGAGGACATATTAGGCATTTGTAGGGCTATGAGCATTTGGACATCAAAATACACCTGGTGCCAGAAGTAGAAGTACTGAGTATATTTACTGTACATTAGGGAAAGTGATTCTGTATTTTGCTAGAAATTATGATAATCAAGGGGTTGTGATGATGGGGCTCTTGATTTTTCAGCCCAGGATAAAGCGAAATGTGAATCCGGCCCTGCTCTGAACAGAGAGATTCAGAGCTAACATCAACGTTAAGTGAGGGGAATGTGTGGGAGGGTGGAGGAGCGGGCCCGGTTAGAGCGGAGAGGCTGGGAACCAGTGTGTGTCAGAGTGAGCATGTGAGGAGAAGAGATGTACTCTGGACGGCCCTGGCTGACTTAAATGGAGAAATGGTCAGAATCATGCAGTAGGTGTGTCTGTGGAGCAGTTTCTACTGAGGATGATGTGGAGGTCTTCACCAGCATTGTGAGGTGGACGACTCCTGGCCTGCTGGAGTTTGAATTAGGCCAATAAGTAAGCATCGGAGAGTAAGTATTATCTAAATAGATACTCATGTTATCAAGGACATGGGTGGAACTGTCCAGTAATTAAAAGCAGAAAAAATATATATTTATATTTAAGAACTAACAGATTTTTTTAGCAATGGTTGCACCAAAATTCAACTAACACATCAGTTTAAGGCAAGATAGAGCAAATTATTTGTGATTAAGCAGAAAAAATTACTCTTGCAATCTGCAAAAAGTCACTGTTAAAATTGGCAATTCAGACAAGGCAGTGAAACCAAGAATGAACATCAGTGGCATCGGTTCAAAATCTGTTAATCTGCATATTTCCTTCTGTAATCTATTTTTATTGTTCTTCAACATGTGATATCTGTGAAATCCAATGCTTTTAATGTTTTATTATTATTTAGAGGAAATGATTATAAAGTAGGCATATTAAAGTTGGCATGGTACCTTGAAGTTGGAGGTGGACTCGAGGAAGCAGAGTCTGTTCCCGAAGCCCTCGGCAGCGAGGCAGAGCTTCTGCTGCTCTTTGTGGACTGTAGCCGAGCATTGTAAGACCACCTCATCATCCTAAACACACACAAAAAACACAGTTAAGAATCAAGACATTCTTTTTTTCTGTCGCCCATTATTTCACGTCAGAGTTTGGTGGTATTTTGCAGTGGAAAACCCTGGAGGGGAAATCTTTTCATACAACACAATGATTCAAAGCACACCAGCAAATATATAAGAGAATGAAAAGGAAAAAATGAAGGTACTGCCGTGGCCCCTTCAAAGACATGGAGCGGTATCTTGAGGGAAGGGTGCCTTAATGATGGCATGCACAGCATGAAAACCTAAGTCCACGCCCACCTGTTGGGGGGGGGGCCCAGCTCGGCCTCCAGAATAAATTGGACCGAGAGTGGACAATCGCCATAAAAGTCCATTATTCAGAAGCTATGCCAGGAACATCTCCAGTCCAATCAAGCTTTATTTATAAAGAAATTTACATCACTAAAGTTCTGTATAAAATACATCAAACAGAATTAGACATGTCATAGGAAACTCAGTGATATCTCAATGGCAGTTAGCATTATCATGGCACCTCCTCCACTCACTCAAACTAATAGCAATTCCATGCAGCTGAGCCACATAAATGACTCTCAAAAGAAGAATTAGATGTAAATAATTCTGCATCTTTAAGCTGGCAATTTCTTATAGGCAGTAGAACTTGTACAAATACTAGCATGCCCCGCCAAAATTCAAGAAAATTAAAATACGTGTACAACATGCCAACAATTTTCCAATCTCAATGACAGTATAACCAATATAATGACAAAATGACGACTTCATAACATAAAAACTCTGTTGTTGTGGGAAACTTGTACAAATGAATGGGCACCACTTTAAGTATCACAGGTAGCTGCTGATCCAAAGACCAAGAATTAAGCTTATATTTAAACCATATTCACATATGTGATGCCTCATACTGTCATAAAGAAGGTGCTTTTACGAAGCTTTCTCATAAATCTAGATACAAAACAATGAATGTAAGTTAATTGAATAATTGTATGACTTATGAGGCCTTTGCCACAACATGCAGACAGAATAAATGTAACAGAAAAATGACTCCAGAGTAAAAGGTATCTCCAAGATAATGCCAATGAGTCTCTGGCAGCGGTATGATGGTGAGGAAGAAAAAGATGCACATGCTGTTGTGGGACTGAAAACATCTAAATGTGATACATTTCCAAAGGAAAAAGCTGTAGTTATCTCAGGAACTCATTTGTCATTGTGCTTTTGATTTATTTTGTTAGATGTGTCAGCATTGACACACACACACACACACACACAAAGATTAAAGTGTGGAGAATTTATAGAGATGTCTTAATGTCTTAAGGATGCTAAAGACTGTACTTAGTCAGGATGTTTCTCTATCTTTAGAGCATCAACGTTAAGAAGGATGCAGATAGAGACATCATTCCTGAAAAATGTCAAGCCAGACATCAACGATTTAACAGAAAAATAAATGAACATAAAATGATAAAAACATTAGCAAACTAGAAAAATGAAGATGATTGAACAAAGATTATGTAACATTCGCAGAGAAAATGCAACAAAATATAAAGTCTGGTGATAAATCACATTTCATGTCCAAGACAATTCAAAGTGCTTTACATAAAAGATTAGAGAAAAAGAAAAATGCATACAAAAGTTAAAGCTTCAAAGCAAAAATCAAGAACAATTTAAACAAAGTAAAACAACACGAATCATTAATTAAATTGCTTAAAAATGTGATTGCAGGCAAAATACCTCCAGTTTTCAGATCACAGCAGAATAGAGTATTCAATTAGCAATACTTTAGAAAACTAAACAGATCTTTTTCTCTTGTCTGTCCTAGTATTCCCCAATCATGACATCAACATCACTCATCCTTTAATCCCTTTAGTTCAACATGCAGTGTGCACTCTTACTCAAATACACAGCATCATCTTTGATCTGTTAGGTTCAGTGCAGCGTCCTCCTCAAATCTGCAAATGTGCAGCACATAATTCAGAGACAGATCCAGTCTGTTCGGCAAGTTTGAGTGAAAGTGGAAATGAAAAAGAAACATGGATGGCATGCAGAAGGCTGGAAACAGAACTAGAATGTGGACTGATGAGGAAGGGAAACAGATTTGTTGCAACCTGGGATCATAGGGTGACCTGAGTCTGAACAGGTCTCCTTCACACCCCCCAGGGACAAACCTCCTATAACTGTTAGCATATATCGCTCCATCCCTGGGCCTGGGGACGGTCGGGATGATAGCATCAAACCACCAGTCTGGATCTGGAACACTTCCCTACATAATCAAGGGAGCTGTGATCATGCATAATGTAAACGTGTCTCACCGGTTTACCATGAGACGTGAAGAAAAAAAGCCTCTGTGAGAGGTAGAATGAAGTAACCTCTAACAGATGGTTTTCCTTCCTCAGTTTTCTTTTTTACAGACCCGAGCATGTGGACCGCCCCCAGCAACAGTGAAAGGGAGCAGTGGTCTCATATTAGCATATACACAGTGATAATAAAAATAAAAATGGTGTACTCTGTCACCCAGTTGGACTAGAAAGACACTCAGATATATTTTCCCTTTAATGTGTTTGATTGTAGATTCAATTACACCAGAATTCGGTCATCAAGCCATTCTCCTTTGATACATGGGATGATAACCAAGCTAAGAAACCATGGACCAAAAGGGAAATATTACAAACAATGATGGGATTTCATGTGGCCAGAAATCAGTAATCTTTTAGGGTTTTGCACAAAGAGCAAGCTAAAAAAAAAACATAAAATGTCTCACTTATTTCAGAAAAAGCAATCACACACAGGCTGGTGCAGTCCAGTGTGAGGTTACTGTATGAGATGTTTTAGATTAAAGGATCTATGGAAACATCATTAGTCTATTACAGACAGACCATGGGTACAAACATTCCTGGCCCCAGTGCCAAAAAAGATAAAAGAGCCTCCAGGCCAAATATAAGGAGACCTCAGACTAAAACCATTATTATTATTGCATCCTCTACTTCACATGCAGGTGCTTTGCAGTTCACTCTAGATATCACATATGAGTCAAATATTTGGAAAAGAACCCACAAAAAAATTCGGATTTTTAAAAAAAATCAGATTTGGGTAATTTCAGGCTGCAATGTGAACATGGCCTCTGATGCATTGACACATAAATGCTTAAAATCAACCGATGCAACCGAATCACGTTTTCAGACATAGTTTGAAATAATTAAGAACACACATAAATAAAGAGGCATATCTGGTTGTATCACATTAAAAATGCTTAAACTTGATTTAATTTAACTGTCATCATAAGTAGAGTTAGAATGCAGTGGGCTAATCAATATCTGAATAATCAGACAAATCCATTAAAAAGATGACACCATTACACTGCATCAGACCCATTAAACCCACTCTGCCTCCCCACCACTTAGGCCCTCTTATGAGTGAGCCTCTTCTCCGGAGGAATCCTTTTGTTGCACACCTGGGATTGGTGAATATTCCACACAAGTTCCATTAGCCGTGCCTACCGTGAGAATACACGGCTTCCTCCAGACACGTGCGTGTCAATGTTTGCCTGTGCACTATTCTTCATGGGAGCTCCTCTGTGCTAACTCTGAGTTTGTGAACGTGCCTGCGTCTTCACATATCAGGAACACGGAACCTGGGTTTGAAATGCTCCCGGCCTTTCAAGAATATTCCAAAAATGAGCCTTTGAATCCAATGTTTACAGACATCTTAAAAAAGGTGATATGGTTGGGCCAGTGAAACTCAACTAAAATACCATGCTAACATATTAATCTTTTAAACTACATTGCTGCATGGCAGCCCCCAGTATAGCTCATCAGTAAATGGTATTGTTGATGTGGAAAACAACGGTTTCAAACTATATGAAAACAGGGATCGTGCAATATCTAATTCCAGTATATTTCAATACAACAATAATAAACTGACATTAAATATAAATCCAAATGAAAATAAATATGCTGGCCGTAACCTACAGTAACTGAAAGAAGAAACGCAATACACTGGGACGATAAAGAATGTGGGAGTTTTTAGAAGGCAAGTCCTCTAAATTATTTAAAATGTTGTATAAACCTACTCCTTTTTTATTATACTGCCTGCTAATTCCGTCTCCAAATGAAAAATACAGGAAATGGAATATGTCTGTGATATCCATATATGGCTGTGTAAATACAGATTTATGTCTGTTTCCAGAATTTTTCAAAACCCGTTCCATAAAAGATTATATTCAGTGTCAGAATCACACTGTATATGTTTAAAATGTAAAAACCAGAGCAGGTTTCTGTGTGTCACTGGTGCGCAGCTGTACATGTGCAGTGTACTTAGAGCCTCTTCCACAGGCCTCAGAAAAGTTGAACCCTCCTCTACTGACCCCCCTATGGCACACACACGGACAGTGGGCAGGTCAGAAGAGGAGGATTAAAAGCCTGCTCAGAGAGAGAGGAAGAGTGAGGATGGAGGAGGGGGATGTGTCAAAGATGATGTAATCTAGCATAGGCAAATAGAAGAGGGACATTCTCACTCAGAATCTGTGCTGTGGCTCACAAGAGAAGTGAGGTCGTCATCATTCATTTAGATTTATGTAAACAATCCTTTCACTTTAACATGTATTCTGTTTTTGGCTTGTTGGTCAATAATTAGTGGTAGCACATGACAACAAATCACATTCCTTAACAATGTATGGCTATTATTTGATTTGAATCTAATTCCTTTGCAACCATATCTATCAAAGGCTGATGAAGGTGTGAACGTTAGATAAAAAAGAACCTAAAGAATTGCTAGTGTGGTATTTTTAAGAAAGCTCATCATATTTTAAAACAGTAAAAAACACAATATACCAAATAAGAAGTGACAAACTGATTCTGAATACATCAAATAAAACGATGTATCACCAAAGGAAAAGCACTGAGCGCCCAGCTGATTCAGACCAAGATAAACAGACCAAAAACTCAAATACCTTAAAGGCCTACAGGAGTGTAAACAAGTGAAACCAGAAGCTCAGACACCTATGCTGAGCCAAA